CACTTTATAGGGCCCTCAAGCTTATGGGTAGCTTAAAGTACAGGTCGGCAATCGCTCATCCACTAGAACAAAGGTTTAATATTAAACAAAGTACAACAACAAACAAACAGACAACATCAAGCTTTATGCCACCTACGTGGAGTCGGCTACAATTGAATCTCCTTTTCTTTTCTCCATGTGGTCCTATATAAAAGCCAAAATTTTCCGTTTAATCTAATAAAGAAACGTCATTCCTAATATTTTCTAATCCAAGTCTTTTGTAAGGGCTCACACCACTGACCTTTCTTAACACAATCAAATCTAATACCTCTTAACTCCCCTAACCGGGTCGTAGTATCTGTGAGGCCGCCTTTTATAGTGACCAAAAACCATCTAAGGACGCACTCTCTTCTACTTATCTTATCTTTCTACTGGAGGCTACTCCAACCTTTTCACGTCTACTGCTCATTTACGTATCCTATCTCTAAGGGTAAAAGCCACTCAATGCCATCTAAGCATCCTCTCACTCTGCCACATTAAACTTAGTATTATGCTTCTCTTTTAATGGCCAACATTCAGCGCACCATATAAGCATGCAGGCCTCACTACATCTATAGAATTTTCCCTCTAAGTTTGAGGGGTACATTTCTATCACATAACAACCCGATGCATTCCGCCACTTAACCAATCCAATCTTGAATTCTGCTGATAAGTCCCCATCTATTTACCATCACTCTGAACAATAGATCCAAGATAGTCTAAAGACGTGTACTCTTTAGTTAGATAGACTTGATTCGCCCCAAAGTCACAATCCCTCACTAGGACTAATTACTATCTAAATTACACTCCATACTATTCCGTTTTAGATCTACCAAGCCGAATAACCTTTAGACTCTAAGTTGAACCTCCATATTCAAGTTTACCTTCAACGTCCCTCTCTAGTTCTTACAACAAGAAGAATACATCATATTAAAAGAATGTCATACACCAAGGCTCACAATCATCTTGCAAATGTATAGTGCAGAACATCCATGACTAAAGCAAAAAAGATATGGGCTTAAGCTGATCCTGATGTAACCACCACCGAAAATAGGAGAAAATACTTGCGTCAGAAACGACACCTTGTGTTTGAACACAAGTCAATAGCTCCTGCCATAACATATCTTTAATGATTTGAATTAAGGCATTTTGACTCCTTGCTTCATAAAGAACTAATGTCTCCTAGCATCCTATCTCTTGGACTTTATCATAATGCTTTTTCTAAATCAATAATATCAATATGTAGATCCTCCTTATTTCCTCTATTATATTTCATCAAAACCTCTGATAAATGTAATGCTCCATAGTGCGACCTACCCGGCATGAATCCAAATTGATTTTGAGAAACATGTATCACGCCGCACTATGCTCTTCCTAAACTCGGCTCCATAATTTTTAACAGTATGACACATCTAACTAATACGCTATAACTCTCGTGCAATTCCTGTGCATCGCCTTTATGTCTTAACAAATAGGAATTAATACACTCAAGTCTCCACTCATCTGGCATCTTTTTAGTGCTTCTAAAATACGTATTAAAAAGTTTAGTAAGCCAAAGCAAATCCCTTCATCTCCTAAGCATTCCACACCTCTATTGGAATATCATCAGGTCCCAACAGCAGCTTTTCCATACCCTTCATTCTATTTAAAGCTCCCCTCTAACTTCAGTATTAACTAATACGCCGATAAAAACAAATCTATTACTTTCATTGTAGGGGTGCTAAGGTCACTATAGTCAAATCTTATTTTCACACTCTCTCATTAAAAAGTTTAGCAAAATATCTCAATCCACCTTTTGTTAATATCACTCTTCTAAAAAAAGGTTATTTTTTGATCATTCATCCTTAATACACTTCACTTGAACTAAAATCTTACGTACTCCACATCCTTTGTGTGCTAACTTAACATATATCTTTCTCCCTCCTTAGTATTTAATCTATTAATAAAATCGCTAAAAAGCTAATGTCTTTGCATCGCATAATGCTTTCTTAGAATCCTTACGAGCCATCTTATATAATTCGCCAATTATAAGCAATTTTTAAAAATTAAACACAATTTTTATAAATATCTTTCTTATTTTTTAATCTTTTCTTGCAACAATTGGATTCCACCACCAACTATTTTTACTATTAGGAGCTTTTCCCTTAAATACTCCAAGCACATCTTTTGCAAATTTCTTAATATCACTAGCCACTTTTTCCCACAGTAACATTAGGCATCCTCTGATGCACAGGACAAAATCTTAAATCTAAATCTACTCACAAAAATATTTTGGTTAATATTCTTTAAATGCCCCCATCTAATCCTCGAAAAACGTTTTTACTTTATTTTTTATTTTTATGCCCGTTATCTTAAAGTCCAAAACTAATAATCGATGTTGGGACATAAACTTCACTCGAATAACTTTACAATCATTTGCAATCTAAACGGTTTAATTTTCTAATAAGAAAAATAGTCAATCGGGTTGTACTACATCCATTTTTATAAGTGATGAGATGCTCATTCCTTTTCTTAATAAGGTATTAGCAAATAAGAAATACATTAAAATAGCTAAACAAAAAATCTAATATGGTCTTTCCACCTTCATCGTCGTTCCAAAATCCATGGCCACCATGAATGTTTTAAAATCATCTACCTCTTTACCAACATGTCCATATTAATCTCCTCCAATAAAAACTCTTTCTTCAAGAGGTATATTTTGATTTAATCTCTTCCAAGTCATTCAAAAATTTAATTTAGAACTTATATCCAAACCTACCTGAGGAGATAAGCACTTATAATATTAACAATCTTATCCTCAACTCACAACATCTTAAAGCTATAATTCTATCCACCAATCATATTAATTTTATAAATACATTATCCTTAAATCTCTATCTATAATATACCACACCATTTCTAGTACGACTCCTACCCGAATACAAAGTTGTAAATCCTAAACTATCGATTTCCTTAGCCTTCTCTCGCACCACTTAGTTTCCTGAATGCATAAAATATTTAATTATCCTATGAATCATAATATCTATTAACTCCATTAATTACCTGTAAGGGAACTTATTCAAGTCCTATCCTAATTTTAGTATCATGGACTAGCTTCTTTGCCCACATCCGCCTTGATGTGGGAACCTTCCGTATTTAACACTGCAACCCGAGGCGCCGGTGCAGCGGCCCTTGCACACTTGTCACTGTATTCAGGCCATACAGCGCGTCGCTCCAGGGGACGCGCTACGCATATAACACCAATTTCTTAAAGGCATTCATGTCATTTTGTTCGAAAGTCTTTACGCTGGCTGTCGACTACCTAACGCAACCCTCCACTTTTCTAATTTAACAAGTACCATTTCAAGATTTAAATTTCAAAATGGTAGACGGTCACACAAGTACCAACACCACATAAATAAGCACCTCATCTGAGATAATTTGGATATTTTAAATTGCATTTTGGCTAATCAGTAATATGCAGCAGATATCTTAGTTTCTGGAAAAACAAGTAATCATAGAAAAAGTCTTTCTAATGAAGAATGGGAGTCAAATTACAAAGATGATAAGGTTGTGCCATTATTCATTCCTAAAGGATTTGCATGGTCAGGCTACTAACATAGCCTTCCTGTAAGGAAACTTGGTACTGACTTCAAGACCAATACTAGAAGATTCTATTCATTTTTCCAAGAACAACGAAAAGGATTTTCAAGTCAGTCCTACAAAATTTATCATTCATTCTGCTTTTTCTGAAGCTTAACAAGAAAAAAAGTGAACAAAATAAATAAAAGTACATTCAGAAAACAATTACAACCACCCAAGTGCAATCATGCAAATACAGCTCAAGTACTTGCAAACCACGCAAGCTAGGATATTAAGAAAATTATTCACATTTTTTCCTCGATGAACATTTCCACTAGATCTATGTCATTTGAACTACAGATCTCTTTCTAATTTGCTTTGGTAAAGTATGATCTCACAAGTAACATTTCAGTGTTTAAATTTGATAATTGTAAATGGTCGCAAGTACCAACACCATATAAATGAGCACCATCTGAGCTAATTTGTAGAGATTAAATTAAATTTTGGACGACTATTCTTACGTAGCAGATATCACAGTTTCCCAAAGAACAAGTAATCATAGATGAATTTTTTCTAGGGAAGACTGGCAATAACAAATTACAAAGATAATAAGATTATCCTAAGGCATTTGCAAGGTTCAGACTATTACCGCAGCTTTCCTATAAGGAAATTTGGCTCTGATTTCAAGACCAATACCAGAAGATCTAACTCTTTGTCCACGAAACAGAGCCTGAAATTTGATAATTCCCAGAAGAGAATGTAGCGTGACAACAGCTTGTCTCCTTACCAAATGCCCACGAATGAGTGCCTGCAGCCTTATAATACCCTTCAGTGCACCAAATGCCCTGCGTGCCTGCCATAACATCATAATGGTGTAAGATTAAGTAGGCAAACCAGAGAAAAAAAAACCACATCACAAGATAACAACTATTTCCAAATGCATTATGGAATTTATGCATGACATTTAATAAATTGTAAGATGTTACCAGTAACCTCTATACATCATATTGTAAGAATGTAAGGTAATTGTTAAACAATTTTCTTGTAAAACTGGAGATAAGAGGGGTGGCTATGATATTATGTTGGCGAGTCTACCTAAACTTGACATAAAAATTTCAATTTTAATTTGAGTCAAGTTCTAGTTGATTGAAAATTAATTGATGTAAAAGACATTCAATCTAATTCAAGCTAGGCCTATCACTTCAAAGAATATTTTATATAAAAAAATAATTTTTTTATACAACTAAGATATATAAATATATATTTAAACATACAAAACAGTATATGCACAACTTTGTAAGAAATTATTAAACTTAAATGATAAATAAGCGTGCAGGCATACATTATGATTGTGAATGTGAAAAAGCACATACCGAGTATATATTAATGCATACCGTCTATATATACAGATATATCGAGTCTATTATTTCTAATTGAAAAAAAAAAATTTTTGATTTTGAGAAAGCCATCCTTGAGTTGAAGCAAATAGATTTTATAATAATTCAACCATAATACAAGGAATTATCAAACAAGTTTCAAATTTCCAACATAGTTATTGACCGTAGTAAGGTGTGGACGGATGGATAATGAGTCATTATCAACTTATAGTTGCATGAAAATTTTCTGATGTTAACAGTAAATAAAAAAACTGTGATTGTTTCGAGTGAAAATACCAAGTAACCCCGAAAGGCAGCTTGAACCTTTATGGCTGCCAGATCCTTCATTTTTTCAGGATCAGTTGGTGCACCAAATTCATGAACATCTTTTTCAAGAACTGGATTTTTAGATGCTCTGATCAATTCATCATTGTCTAATCCTTCAGATGTTCTGTTCTCCATTTCGGAATTAACCACATAACTGCTGGTGCTGATAAACACCGGTCCAGAAGTCACAGAAGAATCTACATCCGAAACATTTGTGGCTTTTTCCACAGCTACTCCTTTCTGAGTTGCAGTTTTCTTTCAAGATGAAAACAAAATAGTAATATATAACTCTTCAAAATAACAAAAATGTTATATTTAAGAGCATGAAGGTTTTTCTACAGTAATAAAATGATATTGAAAACCATTAGACAGAAGTAACAATAAAGAGGCCTTATCATTTGTTTATATTAAAATTATATTTAAAGGGTTGCATTATTGAAAATTATGTAATTCCGCTGAATCTAATATTGAAATTCCCCATCTTTAGCCATATTGGCATTACCAAATTTCACCGAAAGGAAAAAAAGTAACCTTGTGGTTGCAATTTATCTCAGCGGCCTAAGGTAACAACTATAGAACCAACCCAATGTCATGAATTTTCTATGTTAAAAATTCCCAATATCCAATATTTTGAAATTCCATAGTTTAAAATTCAAATTTTTGAATTTCACATTTTCAAATTATAATTTCCACATAAAAAATCATAAGTACATAGTCTTTCACAACATTTATCACATGCATAAAACAGAAAGACTAATCAAAAGATTTAATTGGGATTCTTATCCTAGTCCATTATCTGTTAGCAGCTATCTTCATATTTTCCGCTCTAGTAGTTAGTCCACTCTACTATCCTTAGCACCTTGTGCAACATACATACACAGGAGCATAAACACGACTCAACGGAAGCCCATAATTATAGCAATTTAAGCAATCCAATAGTTAAAGCAATTCAAGATACCTCGTGAGATTTCAAGACCAATGCTTTCAGTATCCTAAATGTGTCAAATTTATTTTTCTTGTCTTGTACAATTATATCCTCTCATATTCTCTCCCTCCCTCTCTTTCTAATTCTCCACTTTTCATTATTAACCTTGCGAATAAGGTCCAGTATTTCCAACAAAAAAAATTTGGATTCAACATCCTCAAAGGCGTGATAAGCATAGTTTGATACCAGTGATGAGAAGAAAGGCCCATGCTTGACAAGTTGAGCAACCCTGATCCGCTAGAAAACATAGAGAACCCAACCACACTAATCGAGACCTGATAGAAATGGAAGAGAGACTAGCCAAGATGATTCAAGATGATCTATGAGGACTGCCTAGGAATGTTTCGAGGGAGAACACCCCTAAAGATCTTCTAACTCAGCAACTCGCCATAAGAGGCCAGACAGCAGAGCACCGTCCTCAACTCCCATCCCTGAGCCCACTCGCACACCAACGAGTGACGAAGAGTACATCCCGCTAGCCAGTCAAGTTAGAAAAGATAAGCCTAAACTCACCAATGCTTTCTCAAGGAGATCGCAAAGACTAGGCCGCATCCTAGGTTCAAAGTGCCACACTTGGAGTCTTATAGGGGTAGGACTATGATAGGAAATACTTGAGTTCGCAAGTAACCCTAAGGTAATACTTGAGTTCGCAAGCAATCCTAAGCCAATCGAAAGAGCAAACAGCAGGAAAACAATAGAATTTCTGCTGTGGACAGCAAAAAACTGCACTCAAACTGAGAAAACAGTGGGAAAAGC